CATATGCCCTTGCATGCTCCAGGCCACTTGGAACTGCCCCAGGGACCTACTACATTGGACATCCACCAGATCCTGCTGTTGGTTTGGTGCAAGACTCAGTGCACATTCCCCCTTGCCCCTATATTCTCTGAGATGCTCCCAGAAATTCCCAAGTAGGTACCTGCCAGTCCTTCTCATGGCTGGTATCAGGCACTGTGCATGCATGCATTCCCCTGCAGCCCCTGCACACTCTGGGCTGCTTTGGGGAATTCCTTCGCCTGTGCCCACTGGGTCCAACTCATGGCCTGGGGTCAGGCCCACACACAACTTCCCCACTTTGCTCTGGGGAGTTGCCTCAGTGGCACCAGCCCAAAGATTAGTGCATGCTGTCTGTGAGCTGGGGAGATTTCTAGTCCTGCTGATAGGGGCTAGGCTGGTGGATAACAGCAGGCAACAAGGCAGTACTGCTGGATCACCCCCAGATCCTGCTCTCAGCCACACTAAAATGGGAGGAAGGAGGCAAAAAATAGTTCTGGCCAGCTCCCCTATCCCAGATTGCCTCCAGTGGTTTCCTTGCCAAGTGGCAGATGTTTAGTTCTTAAACTTAGGTACTCTTGCTTATGGTCTAATTGCACTTTAAACCACTGACTTCTTTCCTATCCCTCAAGGAAGGAAGTCCATACCTGACTCTCCCAGCAATATGTCTTCCCCTCCCCTCTGTCAGTGACAGTGCTGGGGGTAGGGTTCCTATGTGTCTATCTCTCCTGCTCTTTTGAGGGTTTTTTTATTTACTCTTTCTGTCTCTCATTGTACAGAAGGTGTTCACTTTGGTCTCCATTCTTCTTTAGGGTGAAATACTCTGTGTGTAGTGTAGATGTGGTGTGTAGATGGAAGGTGGATTCAGGCTCTCTCTAATTCACCATCTCCCCTGTGGAATCCTCCATATTTTCTATCAAAGTTAGGTTGGAAAAGTCTTTGGAATTTTAAACCTCTTCTGTGTATCAGATGTTTAGGTATAAATTAGCACTCTTATACTCAGCTACAACTAATGAATCATTCCTTGTAAGCAATCAAGAAATTGGAGAGCCTGGCAACTACAACAGAGGGTTAGGAGAGTGAACAGAAAGCCTGAAACCAGGTTACAGATGTTAGTGAAAGACACAAGAGTATTTTTTATACATAAAACGTGCAAATGTTGAAAACAAATCTTTAAAGTCACTTGTAATGTGCAAAATCCCTCCCTTATGGAGATAAATTGGTTATGGAAACAAGTCATTAAGAAAACAGTAAGCAAAGTAGAAATAACACTGCACTCTAGATTCAAGTGAAGGTTATGCAATGTGATCCTGTCAGTGCAACACTTACTCACAGACTCATAACTCAAGAAAATACTTCATGGCATTCTCTAGCTGTGTCTTCCTTCCAAGAATTACTCTGAACCACTCTATAATGTAGGAAGGAAATTTCTCTCTCTTTCTCAAAGATTCTCCTGTAGATACTATGTCCTTAATACTCAAATCACCTTTCTCAGTCTACAGGCTCTATTCACTACAGGCTCTATTTCTCACAGGCTCAAATACATGTAGCTTAGTTTTTCAGATAATTAAGATAATTAATTATTTAAGTAGGAAAATAGGAAATAAAAACAGTACTTCTCTTCATGTTGTGACCCACTGAAATGAATCCAAGTCATGAAATGCACAGACATCAGGCTTCTAACACACAAATGACTATAAATTATAGTTACAATAAGTTAGCAAATCGTTGTTTAACATCATTTTCATGTTTATTGCAGAAATTTGTCAGGCAATCCAGTCATGTCCATTGAGTCTCTACTATGTGCAAAATACTACAATACGGCTCAGCTCAATACCATACCTGATCTATGATTAGAAATCATTGCCTGACAATTCTCCACAGACCACAGCTGAACCTGAGTGTTGCATCAAATGTTTTCTTCTACTCTTCTTTCACTTTATTCATAAAATGTTATTTATTATGTTTTCATTTTTATGAATCATATATAAATATGGATGAAACATCCTAGCTCCTAGGTTCAAAATACATGGAGGAAGCTGAAAAGGATGTGAAATGAAAATGAAAAAAAAGAGTCCTGTAATTGTTCCAAATTGGTGGCACAAAGGTAAATTATGGAGGTTTTTTTAAAAAAAAAAATACAGCTTCCCAGACCCCCTGTAAAATCTTCCCATCAGAATTTCAAAGGGTGGGATCTGAGAATAGGTATTTTTTAAAAACCGTAGTTAATGGAAGTGAATTACAGATAAAAATCACTGAATGACACCAAGTAATGTAGAACATTTTCATATTACATAGAAAAATATGAGTTCATAAAGTCATTCAGTAATATGTGTTTTCATTTAAACACAGCATGGCTTCAGAGCCTTCATCCCCAGTGCTGTAGTTGAAAGGTGCCAGGTACAGATCCTGTACTTCAATGTAATTTTGGGGACATAAAGGACTCCTTCCTCTACCCTTATCTTGTTGAGATGGAATCAGTTTTCCTTTATCAGGACTCAGTTGCCTGGGCACAAATTAATTAACCAATTAATGTGTGTGTGCATCTGTGTGTCTGCGTGTAATGGCCTAAAAGAGTCCTGCTTAAAGTCTGGACCTCAGATCACCTGAACTAGAATACTGGGAGTGCTTCTAAAAACCTTATATTTCTGGCTCATCCATGCTGTTGCTAATGACAGGATTCCCCCCTTTTAGAGGCTGAATAGTATTTCATTGTACATATGCCTTTTTTTTTTCTATTCATCTCTCCACAGACACTTAGGTTGTTTCATATCTTAGCTACTGTGAATAATGCTGCAGTGAACATGGGGGTGCAGGTATCTCTTCAAGATAATGATTTCATTTCACTTGGGTGCATACCCAAAAGAGAGATTGCTGGATCATAAGGTAATTCTATTTTTTAACTTTTTGAGAAACTCGATGCTGTGTTTCATAGCAGCTGAACCAATTTATACTCCCATCAGGTTCCCATAGGGTTCCTTCTTCACCACATCTTCACCAGCAGTTGTTATCTCTTATCTTCTTGATTACAGCCATTCTAACAGGTGTGAGGTGAAATGTCCTGTGGTTTTGATTTGTATTTCCCTGATGATTAGTGATGTTGAGCACCTTTTCATATACTTGAGAAAAAAGCTAACTATATGAGGTAAATTATATGTTAATAAGCTTGACTATGAGAATCATTTCACAATGTATACACATATCAAAACATCCTGTTGTACTCCTTAAATAAATACGATTTTTATTTGTCAATTACACCTCAATTAAGCTGGGAAAAAATTCAGATTTCTGTACCTTACCTCAGAGTTACCAAGTCAGAATTCCTAGGAGTGAAATATAAGAATTTACACTTTGAGCCAGCCACACAAATGATTCTCCTACATATCAAAATTTCAGAAACAGTGGATTCGATTCTCTGAGGTCTCTTCAAGGCCAAATTGTATATAACACAATCATCATTCTAGAGCAGTGAAATAGACATCTTGTAATTTCAATATGATCATCTAATCTTGAAAAACCCCTCTTTTCTTTCCCTGTTTTGTTATAACCTGCTTGTTTGAGTAAATTAAAATTCTCAGCATGAATTAACATGCAGCCTCCAGAAAGTGTCAAACTGGATATTTTATTGGCTATAACAATAGCCTACTGGAAAAGAATCTACTAAGTAAATACCCTTGAACAAAATGTTTTTAGAATTTTTTAGAAGATATCTCTTGAGTGAAAAATAGTGGAGAAAATACTCTCTTCTAAAATGATCTCTCCAAATAGCCTTTACATTTTTAGCTACAAGGTAAATCATTTGCAATAAAGCAATGTACAGATATCCAATACAACAGCAAGCTTAAGCCAAATCCTGCTGTTACCAAGAAATACATGTACTATACATAAAATGCTTTCAACATGAGGACTGAGACATCTTTGACCTGGCTAGTAAAAGGAATATTGCTTTCTTCTCTAAAGGAACAGAGAAAGGCTGATATATCTTGAGATATACTTCCTCGTCTAGGAAAAATATTTCCTTTTTTCCTCAGGTCTATGAAAAAGTGCTCATATCTTTTAAGAGTAAAACTGACTATCTGGTATTGATTCTACAAAGATTAAGAAGCTTTCTACAGTTTTTTCAAACCTAGTGCTTCTAAGCTGTAAAGTAGACATGTTAGATGGTTTGATGTAGGTGATTTATCCCATTCCCTAAAAGACTTTCAGAATCCCAAATACACCTGTAATTCTATTTTTTTGATACCCCAGAATTTTTAAATAGGGAACATGATATTTTATTCTATGATCATTAGTTCCTGGAAAAGGGAATACAGTGGGTTTCATTTGCACTAATAAGGAAATAACTGATGTCTCCCAATGTTGGGTTTTCTTGAGGAATGACAGGAATGGTGAGATGAGACACCAAGCAATGAATGGTGTGCTCCTGGCCCAAGGTTTGCAGGTGGGTATCATATAGTTAAGGGAAGGTTAAGATAGATTTTTTTCATGACAAGCAGACCCGTCTTGCCTGCTTATCCCCCAAGATTAAGGATTATTTGCTTTCTCACAGCTTCTAACACCCATGTGAGAAAAATTAACCCACTTCCCTCCCCACTCAATGCAACAGAAAACATACGCACACCAAAAAGGGAAACCACTCCAGTGAGAGGATTATGCTGGTTGAGACAAGTTTATTGAGAATTTGACACACACATCCACAACTTTGTCATGAGAAGAGTCTGAGCAGAGTGAAACCTTCAGAAGACATGCATGGTTGGGTGTCAAGCCCCTGAAAATGTCCCAACAAAGGTCATCCAGGGAAGGTGGCTGGAGGCAGCATCTGGTTTTTCATTTTCTTCTCTCGGGACTCTGATGCTAGGTCTGAAAAGCAGCAGTGAGGAGGTTGATGAACAAGTGAAGACTAAAGATGTAAATAATGGAGGGACCTAGAAGGGTGCCTTTCATCCTTGGGAGAGAAGATTCTATGCCTCAGGAATTCCAGCAAATCAGTAGAGAGCAAATGGCCAGTATCTTCTGTAGCCATAAGCCCCACAGCCGTTGTAGCCATAGCCAAGTCCATAGCCCACTGGGGAGTAGGTGCTGCCGTAACCACAGCCAACACTATACCCCAGTGGGTAGCCGTAGCTACCCCAGTAGCATCCTGGGAAGGCAGCACCGGAGAAGTCGTTGCAGTACATGGTGTCAGGAGTGGAGGGCTTCAGTAGCAGGAGGATGTGTTTCCTCTGAATGATGGACTCCCTAGTCCCAGGACTTACTTTATATACCCTGGCTGTGGGGTGTGGTGAGAGACACAAGGCCCTCATTTTCATTCCTGACACCAATTTGCATCACAAAAAGCTCATTAATTTGTTTTCCTTTTGCTGAAGATATCTTTACAGTTGCTTAGGAAAGCTCTCATGTGACAGAACATGGGATTCCTTCAAATAAAGTGTGCCCCTTCATAAAAATGTATTGCAGTGACTTCAAAGCACTAGGTCTTAGAGACCTTAAACATAGTTCTCTGCAAATGGGCTTTATAAAACCAAGTAATATTCTTAGGTTGGTACCTGTTAATCAGTCCTCTTTCTTTCTGAATTTCTATAACACATGGTTGGAGTTCAACAAATAAGTGTTCAGCAAGTTAATAAATGAAATAGTAAATGCATAGTGAGTCCATCTAAAAATTGAAATGTTTTTAGTATTTACTTGACTAAAGAATAATCTTCTTGGTAGTATGCAAGACAAATGCCACCAGGCACATGACAATGACCCCTATTTTTCTCCATCTATAGCTACCCTGTTTAGAAGATTGGTTAAAATTTTAAACTTAATTATAATTCCCACCTGGACTATACCTAATATCACATTTCTAGACAACTGCCAGAACTAATAATCTTACAAATGTAAATATATAAATAAATGGAGTTTGTGGATTAGTTCTAGGAATGAATTGTGAACCAAATATGATTTGTTGGTCTGACACATGTTTTAAAATAAATGTTGAAAATAGTAACAAGTTAACAAATACAAAAATCAATGGGAAATTTTATTCTAAAATGTATGATTTTTTTCCACTAGATCTAGTAAAACCAGTTTATCCAACAAATGTGATGATCTCGTGAAGGTGACAATATTATATCAACATTTTACTTCCTATAGCCCAGGATAGGGAAGGAAAGTCATTCCTCTCTAAGTAGAAATTTAGTTCCCAAATACAAATTGATCAAAACTCTATTGGGTCATGCAAAACCTAGTAAATTATTCTCTGAGACCTGCGTTGAGATTCTCCAGAATGGCACTGAGTAGAAAACTCACAGAAAATACAGCAGAGGAGGCCACATGGTGCAGAACTAGAAAGGCACAAAGCTGAAAGGAATCATTCTTAGAAAGCCATAGGATGAATATGTATTATATATTAGCTCCCAAATTTTTACTTTGAATTCCAAAGGAAACTTTTCTCTCTGTTACCAGAAGCTAAGACGTAAATCCCTGGGAGCACATGGAAGTCACAGGTTGAATCCAAGGTCAGGATGACATACTTGGAAATATACAAAACTGTGTCAGTGTTCTAACCACTAATTGATTACTTATGGAAGAGGCTTTTTCTGAACATATGCAGTGCTGTCTCACCAACCTCCTTCATGAATAATGCTCTATGACCACCTAATGATTCAGCATTCAAAACTCAAACACTTCATGTGACTTATAGCTAAATAAGGCCAGGGAATTAAAATTAGCCTTGCTTCCCAAATATAAAGATAGCAACACAGATCCTTCCCTAAAACTCATAGAATGATTCACATTATAGTTCTACCATCATCACATTGCTCTGCTCCATAAAGAAAAGCTAGTAACATTTGGAAAAATGAAAAGTTAAACAAAAAATAGCATGGTACAATGGGAAAAAAAAAGATTTGAATTAATTCCAAAGTTCAGTTATGATGGTCTCTGTAAACAGTTGCTCTCCCAGTGCCTACCCAATCTGAATGAAATGCTAGTTTTGTACACGAAGACGCAATATCCAACTCTGTATCTGAGTAGTAATGGTGAATAAAAATTAAAATATATCCTCATTTAAAATTAAGCCCTTTGTTCAGAGAACATCCTGAATTTTCTCTAGCAATTCTACTGGAGACCCTAAAACAATAAAAGTTTAGGGAAATACACTGTTTGTTAACAAGCCATTTAAAATCAAAAGGGGTAACTAGTTTAATCCTACATTGGGCCTACGAAAGCTTTATTCTGACATACGTTTATCTAAGGGGCATCTAGGTTTAATAGAGCCTAAAGTTTATACAATGTTAAGAACTCTCCTTATGAAAAAGAATACAAAATACAAATACTAAATAATACAAAAAAAAGCATTTGTTAAAATGGTAAAGGAACTCACAAAAAATTAAACACTAACAAAAATTATGCAGGCTACAAAATCGTGGAAAAAAAATTTATTACTTAACCACCTGACACACATCCATGATACTTTTTCCACTGATGCTCTGGCTCCATCCTTTCAAAATGTTTTCTCCATCACTACTCATCCCCCATTGGATGCTATGGACAAATTCACACCAAGATGTGAACTCTAGTCCTGCAAACTTCACGTCACCGATTCCAGGTGAACTGGGAGAGTAGGTGGTAGAGAATTCCCGGGAGCCATCACCACTCGAGGATGGCTGGAAATAGCCTAATTAGACCCAGAAGTGACTGCAAACCACATCACTGTATTGTCCATATCCAAATAAAATGTATCTCCTACTCAACTTCTCATTAGCCAGATCCCAGAAAGGTCTGTGGCCTCTCCAGTGTCTCCCAACATGAGGGGACGTGTGCTCACAGGGCCCCCAGGTGGAAATCAGCAGCAGTCGAAACCAATTGCAGTTAAAATGTCTTACTTTTGTGAGTTTCTCAAAAAAAAAAAAAAGTCATGTGAGACGGAGATTAGAAAAAGAGAAAAGTATTACGGTCTCACATACAAACTGACATAATATTGGACTAACCATGGCTGGATATTTATGGGCTTAAGTAAGGTTCATGACTCTTTAATTTTAGTAACAATCTTAAGATGTTATCTAATAGATTTGATTTCTCCTTTAATAATTCCTTGACTTCAAATAAGGTCTGACATGAATAACTATAGGGAAAAAACTTGTTCATTGGTTTGCTACAAAGGAGCAAGAAATGTATTGTGTACAGATCTTAGAAATAGAGTCAATTCCAGCTGCACAATAAAGCCATTCTTATCAGCTTCAAATATGAAATTTTCAGCTTTCAATATATAGGAAATGAAAGAGAAATGATAAGCCCATACTTTAGATGAGTTTTAGAATATATATCAGTCACAACTTTGAAATACAAAAGTTATCTGCCATTCATCTTCTCAAAAATTTTATTCTTACAGACATTTATTGAGCATCTACTATGTTCCAAACATGCTGTTAGGTGCTAGAAATCTAAAGATGAAGGAGAAATGAAAATTAAATGGAAAATGATAAATAAATGAAAATAAAATGTTATACATGCTCTACCCTCAGGATCCACACAGCCCTCTGTAGGCTTTAGGGGTGAAGGAGAGAGTGGACAGTTCTACCAGAAGTAGGGGGGTAGTTTAAAATGAGTGTAAAATGCTGAAGAAAAAGGGGACACCTTATAGCCAGCCTTAATAACCAGAGTTGATGTGATGTGACTTATGATCATGGGCAACTTTGCTTCCCAGGGGACATTTGACATGTCTGTCATGACTGGGGGTATGCTGCTCAGCTTCTAATGGGTAGGAGCACAGGTCCGCACCACACAACCACCACGCCAGCAACCTCTCACCCCAAAGACCCATCCAGCCCAAAGTGTCAATAAGGCCTAGGGCCAGAAACACCACTTTAAATACAAGGTCATGTGCAGTCACGTATGGTTGCCAGACCCCAGAGTGTCACATGTTAGGGCCAGAACTTGCTGACCAAGTCTTGGGGCCAACTTAAAACACAACTTCAATACCTGGTTACTCAGAGCTTTGGGGGCTAAACCACATTTGTGAGGCTCCTTGGTTATTTGTCAGAGCAAGCACCTAATTAACAAAGCTTGCTATTTGATGTAGAACTCATGTGGTTTCCTTAAGAAACAACGTGACACCACAGCAGCACCTGGGTGTGTAATAGGCCCACTGAATCTTGTCAGAAACACCTCATGTGTGTTTCACAACTGACATGAAAGAGTCCTTCCAAAGAAGGCATGTTTTTGCTGTAAGCTTTTACTCACCAATGGGATAGGAAAGTCATTTTTAACACCTACCCTCTAGTTTTTAGTAATGCTAACAGAGGAGCTGAGGTCTACTTCTTATGTCACAAACAGAGAGTTAGAGCCAGAAGTGGAAATGTGTACAAATTTAAAGCACAGCACCCACCTGCAAGCTGAGTTAGTTGAAGGTTAAAGGATAAAAATCATGGTCTGCTGTGCTACCTCTGTGCTAATACAGACTCACCGATGAGAGGAAGCATGGCACTTCAACTGATTTACTCACTGCTTTGCCCTTTGAAAGGCCTGAAGTCATGTCCTTCTGATGACCTTGAAAATAATGGTTCACAGTACTGCCAAATAACAAATAATGGCAAGCTCAATCTACTGAAAACACCATTTCTTCAAAGACTTTGCTGACCAAAAACTAAGTATAAAAATAAATACATTTAATTTCTAAAGATTAGGACCCATATCCCAAAGACATCATCTTTAAATTTAAGGTTGTTCATTAGGAAAGGTTTGTAAATTCTGAAATTGCAGACGAGTGCATTCAACATGGACATTTCAAAATGGGAATAATGAGGCTCATTTGTAAAGCAGATTACCAGCAGGGGAGAATGATCAGAAAGGGAAGAAAAAACAGCAGGACGCTGTAGTGCATACACCACTGTCAGAGACAATGTCATAAGACTCAGAGGCAAGTCCCTGGAAAGGAATTGGTGTCTGAGGAACAGACAACTATATGCAACACATTCAGGAGTCTTACAGAATATCCTAAGAGGCCTCTGCCCAGTAGGCTTTAGAAGCAAGAAATTTTCCGATTTATCTAATAGAAAGCTCTCCCAATACAATTTTAAATGCTTTTCCTCTTTCCTCAATAGAAATGAAAAACATAAACTGGTTTTCCCGTAACAATAAAAATAGAGCAAAAGCAGAGGGAAAATAATTTTTAACAAAACCTGACTTTTTT